CAGAATATGGGGAGACAAATGGCTTCCAACAGCCTCTGCTTTCGTGGAATCGCCGCCTATCGGACTCCCGGTCGATGCCGCTGTCCGAGAACTCATTTCCCCTAACACCGACCAGTGGGACGATTCCCTGCTCGAAGCGTGTTTCTCGACGGAGATGCAATCCACAATATTCCTTTGCGCAGCTTGAGGGAAGGTGATAGACAAATTTGGATGGGAACTGCGTCTGGCGAGTATTCAGTTCGTGATGGGTACCGTCTCTGGCTTCAAGACTTTAAAATTCGCGAACAGGTATCGCTAGCGGGCGAATCTCAGGTATGGAAGAGGCTCTGGACAACGAAAATTCCGCTGAAAGTAAAGCACTTCTTATGGAGGTTTGCTCGAGATATCTTACCAACTGGGGACCGTATCAACACAAGAAGTAAGCGATGGGGGGATAAGTGCCTTTTTTGCGATTTAAAGGAGACCCAGATCCACAGGTTTGCACAGTGCGAATGGTCGTCCCGGCTATGGCGAAGCTCGGAGTTGGCCAACTGCTTCCTATGTCACCCCTCGGATTGCTGTTATGACTGGCTAAAGACGGTGCAGAGTTTGAAGACTGGGCGGTTCTTCTTTGGTTCCTGTGGAAAGAGCGAAATGCTCACCTCTTCAACGGAATAAAGCTGGCTGAGCATGAGATAGTTCCGCGTGCGAAGCTGTGGATAGCTGATTATCGAGCTCACTAGGCCACGACGGAGGAAGAGGTCGGGGAGCAACAGCCTGCAACAAAAGGCTGGAGAAAACCAGGAAAGGGCCAGCTGAAGATTAATACTGATGCAGGGGTCTTTGAGGTCGGGGGAATTGGACTTGGAGTGGTAATACGTGATGGAGATGGGACTTTCCTCCTTGCAGCAGCAAAAAGAGTTCCAGGAGTGTGGGAAGCAGAAGTGGCCGAACCCTTAGCAGCAGAGTTTGGTGTACAATTAGCTCTTCAACTCCACATGACAAATGTGATCCTCGAAACAGATTGCCTCTCGCTCACCCATAAGCTGGCGGTGGCGGAGAATATTCACACTGAGATTGGTGTAATATGTCGCAACATACTCAGGCTCCTCCGAGATGCTGGAAATGGTGTTTGGCTGTACGCTCCAAGGGAAGGGAACATGGCTGCTCATATCATGGCTCACTCAGAGACTAGATGCAATGAGAGAGAGGTCTGGATAGATAGACCTCCTATGATTCTTGTTGATCAGATCATGTTGGACAATGTAGTCGCGGATTCTGATTAATAAAGCATTATAGATTTGATAAAAAAAAAGAATTGGATGCAAGTCGGGCCCTCTTTATTTCTTTTTCTTTTTCTTTACTATTAATACGACCCTGGGGGTGTATTTTTATCAAAGTAATGCAGCAAACAATCAATCCGAAGATTGATTGAACTCGAAACAAGAACAAGGCGTTCTTAATACGAAATTGGGATAAAACGGAACCAACGGACAATTTCACACCTGGGAAAAGCTCGTATGGTATAAAAGGGTAGTTGCTCGACCATGATTGAAGAGGATATTCAATCGATACAAAGCTCACAAACTTGGAATCCACCAAACTCAAACCAGTCGCAACTTGCACAAAACCAAAGGGTTTGTTTTTCGATTAATCAAAGTCTGAATTTTACAACGAAATATAACGGTATTTAAAGGCAAATAAAACCTAATACAATCCTAATATAACTAGGAAACAATTAAGGTAAAAACAAACTCTAAAAACAGTACAAAACTCGGTCACAAACTTCCTTTCTTGACGCACAAGTAAGCTGCCAGCAAACAGTACAAAAGCAGCTTTCGTACTAACTTCGCGCCTTTCGTTCGAGACCTTCCTGAACTCCAATTCTTCATCCAATTCCTTCCCTTTGTTCACAAACATACCTAGTTTCATGTTGTGGAAGCCTTTGGACTTGATTCATCTCCATACTCCTCGAATTAAGCTTCAAAGTAGGCTTCACAAAACAGTTTCCATACTTATAACCATTTTTTGGCAGTTTTCCAGTTTTGAGGTAGCAACTTTGAGGCCTTGGAAAACAACCTTAATGACATCATCTAGATCTACAAGACATACCATTGGAAAGATGGAAACTTTATCTTTAAAACAAATCCTTAACCTTGAATTTTCACCAAGCCAATTGAGAGAACCATGCCTCCAAAGTAGGTACCCTGAACACGGATTTTGACTTAGCCAAATTCTGCCCTTCTTCTTTCCAACTTCGATAGCTTCTTCGTCAAGTAATTTAAACGTGCATAGTTGACCATTTGGGATCATATCAACTATTCCATTATGTTGCTCTCTCCTCTTTATCTTTACTATTCCATTATGTGGCTCGCTCTATTGCGTTATGTCATACTCTCTCTCCTCTATATCTCTCCACTTATTCATGTATTCTCTCTCTAAGTTCATGTTGTGAAGCAAAATTATCTTCCTCAATCATCTCATCACCAAGAGGAACCATATCTTTTGAGCATCAAATCGATGAAAATAAATTTTCATAAAAAAAGGCATATATGGACTCAATTATGGAATGAATTGAGTAAACGTCCCTTCGATTATATAGCATTGAACTTATATGCCTAAAAAAAATTGGATATAAAAAATATGCAATCAATGGCTCTTTCTCCTTATGTCTTTAAGGATCTTTTAGCCGCACAACTGCTTAAAATCCCAACATTGAAAGCGTTCCAAGTTTGAATTCCTCAATACCAAAATAATTTTGTGCTTCATTTTCAGTTTGCAACAAGAGCATGTTGCAAAACCTTAAATAGTCATCAATAAAGATGATGACATATTTCCTCTCACATTCTATAGAAATGCTATGTAAATCGCATAGATCAATAAGTATTGGTCCAAGTACCTTAAACTCGCTTTATATGTGTTTACAATAATTGGTCTAGCAATTTTTTTCCTAACAATTAGTCTATCTCATTAAGCTTTTCTCAGTTAGCTCTTCTCAGTTCACTGCCCAAATTACTAAAAATATCCGGCAAAACCAAACAGATGAGGCGGCCGAGTTGAAAATTTTCAGCACCCAAAATATTTTGTGGCCCAAAATTTACCGGGAGCCTCCATCGCCCTTCTGTTCGGCGGCGGCGTCTCCATCCCTTCTGCTTCGTAGCAGCAGCGAGCGAAGGTGCCGATTTCAGACGCGTATCACTGCTGAGATCCGACGGAATAGTAACCGCTTCGTGTCACTGCTGAGACGGGACGGTTACGGTATGGGCTGAAACTGCACGGTCGGTTGGGAAAAGTGTCCCCGCCGCCAGATTGCACCGCCAGTAGAGAAGACGACTGGAACGACGCAAGGGCGCAGGTCCGACGATCTGCTGCTAGGTTAGGGAAGGGAGTTAAGTTTCCAGAGGAAGGCGATTGGTGGCACAATTCCTTATTTTCTTCTCCATCTGGTCGCTTCAGTGGATCAGAGCAGCGGCCGTTCTCAGGGGAGGGTGCCGACGGCTTCAACCTAACAGCGAGCGCTGATTGTTTTGAGGGCTATTTGGTTGGGTTGGATTTTTCAACTAAACAGGTGCAGATCCACTTGAAGACAAAGATACATGGGCGATTTAGATCTCTGTTTTGGTATTCGGATTACCATCAGTGGCTTATGGGCCTGATTGACTCCGTTTTTAGGGAGATAATGAGTGTCATCGAGTGGCCATATTTCGTTTGTTTGTTTTGCAGGCCTCACCAATGGCGGAGCTACTGCTACAGCGACACAAGGGCTGGCAATGACCAGTGTATAGCAATGGCGCCGATGTCGTTCCCTCTTCGTACTTCCAATTCCGGCATCCAAATTTCGGTGGCAGTTACAAATTCGGACTCTCCAATCCTATATGTGGAATGCTTCAGACGGTTACAAGTAGATAGGCGGTTACAATTACAAAAACGGTTCCTAACCACGTTTATTTTAAGAGTTTTAATTCTTACTTAATGACATATTTAATTATGCACCTGTGTTTGGTATTTTTTCTTGGTCTTGCTTTGCAGGTTTTGTATTCAGCATAAATTGGCTAATAGAAGGCTCTTCAAGAAGTTCGCCGAAAGAAGTCTTTTTTTTGTGTTTATTCGTTTGTTTTATGTTTCTAGGCATACTAACAGGGCTGCCCATTGCGTAGCACAAACTGCCCTTGCATCGGTAGCAACCCATTTGGTTGACTACCGCTCTTTCCTTTTCACCGCATTGTAACACCCTATCTGTTTTAGATCTAGATTCTTGGGTCTTTTGTTCAGTGACAAAGGGGGCTGCGGATTCTTTCTTCAGCTTGTCTTCTCATCTTCAAGCCTTTCATCTACCTCCTTGTTTTACCCAACAGATTGCGGTGATTCGGAGATGCAGTGGCCTTCCTTGTGATTCGGCTTGGATGCGGTTTGTGGATTTTGAAGGCAGAGACGCACCATTCAGGAGTTTATTCAGCCTCTTCTTGCTTCCTTCGTCGGTTGACTGATTGTTTTGGTTGGAGGTTCTGCTCGTTTGTGTCACTTGGTGTTGATTGGAGTGCGATGTTGCTTTCCTCATGGCGTTCCCCACTGGGTTGATCTGGGTTTCTTTGGTCAGAGCTTCTTCTCTTTTGGTTGGCCGGTGGAGGTAGCAAGAAGCGGCGGCTGAGTCTCCCTTTTGGTGTCTTTCAAATTTCAGATAGGGTTTAGGGTTGAGCCTCTCGGTTGGGTTCTTTCATTGGGCTTCATTGTTGTATTTGTTGTATCTTTTTGGGCTCTCCTGTTGGGCTTTTTCCTTAGCTTATTTGGTTTTTGTGTCTTTCCATGGGTTGGATGTTCCCAAAACTTTGTTCACTTTTGCAGTTTAATGAAACTGTTCCTTGTCAAAAAAATAACACCCTATCTATTACGATCTATCTATGAAAAAAAAATTAGTCTATCTCATTAAGCTAATTTAGTCAAAGCCAATTTGCGAAAAAATCACAAAGGATTTCCCCAGCAATGAGTACATCAACCTTTCCCGCCAAACAAAATGTGGCAGAGAGCTTTCCCGCCACCAAATTCACCAAAAAGCCTCTCTTCTCAGTTCTCACTCGAACCTTCCGCGGCCGCCATTTCTCCAACTCCATTCGGGCTCAGACCCAGCAATGTCGACGCACCAAGAAGATCTCGACCTTCTCCTTTCACTTCAGGACCGAGTTCTCGAAACTCCCCCTGGCTCCCCGTCAAATTCCCCTTCCGGTTCTCCAGGTATAAACCCTAACTTTCCCTCCTTTCCTTCTCATTTCAATTGCTCTACTAGAATCCGACGTGGGTTTCTCTTTAATTTCATGGAATTTGGCTTGAATCGCTTGTCCGCTTTTGCAAAATTTAGGGCTTCTATCCGATGACGAGGGTTCGCCCAGGCGAAGAAGAGAGGGCAAGGCGGCAGATTTGTCGGTGTTCAAGGACGCCGTACGAGATTGCCTCGATTTCGATGTCAACAAGCTCGCCGAGAAGTCCAAGAAGCTGAAGAATCACCGGCCTTCGGCGAAGAAATCCGGCGAAGCGAATGTAGAGAAGTATTCCGGATTAAGAATCAGGTACTGTCTCCATCGGAGTGGACACTTTTAGCTATACATGAAATGACTCAAGTTCACTAATTTTGGCTGCTCTTTGCTTTGAGGGATTCAGTGATCAACAAGTCACCCTTGCCCAGTTAGCGGAACACTTCTCCGACATCCGTTTCGTTCGCTTGCCAACGATTAAGTATAGCCTCCTTCATACTTCTTTAGATTCGTAATCGAGGGCGAAAAGAGTGAATCGTGTGCTTACAATACTGCAATTTTTTTTTTGAAGGAATTTATTGGTAGGGGACAGTATTTCTGGATGTTGGGCTACTGTTGGCGTATTGACCGAGAAGGGACAACCGAGAACTAGCTCCGCGGGCAAAAGCTATTCGATATGGAAATTGAGCTGTTTAGATGAGAGCAGTGTTTCTGTTTTCCTGTTTGGTGATGCTTATAAGCTTAACTGCATGGAGAAGGCTGGAACTGTTTTCGCCTTGTTCAACTGTTCTGTAAGGAAAGACAATATGGTAATGTGTGTTCCTTGTAATCCCCTGCTGGTTTTAGCAGCTTCATTAGCCAAATGTTGTTCATGCTAATTTGTTTCCTTGTTATTGCAGGGACAAGGGTTTTCACTGAGTGTTTTCTCTGCCAATCAAATACTAAAGATGGGGACTTCTGTTGATTATGGAGTTTGCAAGGGGAAGAGGAAGGATGGAATGGCTTGTAGTCTGGTGGTAAATAAGTATGTTCACAAAGTACTGATAAACTCGTCTTGATGTCGTCCTAAAAGGCATTTCTGATTCTAAAACTTTCAGCAATTGTGATTTTTTTTTTCTCAGGCGACAAGCGGTCTATTGCAGATACCATAATGTGGTAAACATGACTTCTAAAAATGATCATATCGTAATGAACCGTCTTGCTCTTACTCACTTTGATCTTACATTGTTATTCTACAGAAAACTGCTGAGAGATTCTCCACGACACGTACTGAGCTTAAGGGAGGGTAGGCCATCATCCCAAAATTCCTTGGAATGAAATGATCATTTAAATGGCTTTAAGTTCTGAATTGTAAACTTGCTGCTTCTTTTTTCGGCTGCAGAAATTTGAGCACAGCCTTCAGAACTCCTTTCAACTCAAGAGGTATTTACATTGCCGATCCTCTAGCAGACTTGAAGAACATAAAAAAGCCCGCACAGCCAGTTAAGTTAATGTCTATAGAAGGGCTCAGAAAGGCTTTGAGGTCAGTAGTCTCCTTACTTAGTCTGTTTAGACCAAAAGACTGCATGTTCTCAAACTCCTCTTAAACGTTTTACTTTCCTTTTTATTCTTTTTCATATGAACAACAGCAAAGGAGAAAGAGTGACTACGAACACACACTCGCAGGGATTGAGATTTCTAAACGAACTCACAGGTTCGATATTGTTTCTCTATGCACATTTCGATTCCAGTCAATGTCCCGAGCGATTAATTCTTAGGCTTGTTATTCAGCTTCAGGAAAACTGAATCCAAAAACATCAAGTAAAGTATCCGGAACAGCAAGCCAACATACGACCAGCTCGGAGAAAAGGTTAGTCACTACCCAAATATTTGTCCCTGTACACCCTTTTGCCCCTCCTTGTTCTGGCCTCTGTTGTGTCTCTGAACAATATCATTCGATCTTTCGCTTCAGGAAACCACAAAGCATGAAACCAAATCCATCTCAACACGATGATGCGAAGCGGACGAAAACTAGCCAGGGGAAAGCTTCCGTCGACAAGGGCAAGCAGGGAACTGCGAAGATGGTTGAGTTGCATCTCATTGACTCGGATGAAGAATAGTGAAAGCTGGTATCATCACTTCCCTCCATCCATTGTCCACTGACATTTTCTAACTTGTATGGCTTCTGTACTATTGAAACTGGGCAGTTTCTAATTGTACATTGCTCCATTATTCCATCCATTTCCCCTCAATCTCTTTCTTTCTGTATTTGAATGGGAAGGATATCTACACATACTATAATACACCGAAGTGAAAAACGGGAGCTCCATTTCAAATTTCCTGCAACGAGAGTGAATGTAGGAAGGACATTTTGGTCTTCACAATTATTTTTTTTAATTCATTAAAAAGATACATACTAGGATTCGAACCATGACCATTTTAAAGAAAGGCAAGGTTCATAACCAATCACACTAAGTACATTTGTTGTATCATTTTAAATTAAAAACATATAATAGCAGGGTGGAAAAAACTCTTCCCCCATTTCAAATTCCCTGCTCCAGGAGCGTTTGTAGGAAGGGTAGAATAGGGAGTACCAATTTTTTCTCTTTCCTCTGTGGAACGGGCCAACTTACCGTACACATGCGGATTTAAACGGGTCTAGGAGTGTCAATTTTTTCGTTATACCCTTTTATTTCTCCTTGGTGATAAAATATATATGAAAAGGCAAAAATAATACTCCTTTTATTGTTAAAAATAAAAAATTTAACAATAAACTAATGCATGGTATCTAATGGGCTAACCGCTAACCATAAAATAAAAGAGTTGAATGAGCCTGACCTACATGGAATTTGGCCATCAAGTAAAACAAATGAACATCATTGGTTTGTCATTCTAAAACAAGCTATTTTCTTTGGCATAATATATATTATGCTATTATTTTATATCTTAGTGGCTAAAATATAATGTATTTTAAAGTTATTCAATGGTTCAACCTCGACCAACCCAATTATTCCAATTTTTATCATTTCAAATATATATTTTATAATTATTTGACATCATATTGATCAAATTATAGTGTGTTTTATAGGGAATCGTTTGGTATTTGTTAGTAAAAAACTAAACATAAAGATTTATTTGGTTATTTTAAACATTAAAACGATCCTAAACATTTTCAGTTCCTTTTGAATTTCTATGGTTTTATTCCCGAATAAGTGATGTGCAAATGGCGAATTGTAGTCGTCTCTTTTCTTTCACTATTTTTTATTTTCAAATAGAAAGTTTAAAAGTAAAGAATAATTAGAATTTGGCATGGGCCGGTCAAACAGGCTGAATTTCAAGTTTTGGCCCGTTTGTTTTATGCATTGCAAATTTATTAGCATGTTGATGGAAATGGCTTGGAAAAAAGACATATAAGTTGTACCTTTGCAGAAATGTCCTCAAATGTTTGAATGCTTTGTGAATCAGGTTCCGTGACTTTTGTGATGGTGTATGTGCTTGACGATTGCTCGATGTTGTAACTACTTAATTTGAGAGTAAATCTTTTGATTTTCCCTATGAGTTGTGATACCAGTTCTGGTGGTTGCAGCATGTTGTCGTTGTTGGCCTGTAAAAGTTGTTCCGCCGTGATGCTAAATACCTTTCTTTCCTTTTTAACAAATTGTGTAGTAGTGCTATGAAAGAGACCACCCATGAACACTACACTTATTATGGCATGTTCTTACTTCTGGTGGTGAGAAATTGTGAATTGAGAATCATATTCGCCTATCGCACTGTGTCTGTCTGGTGGCTGCTTACTGTGCTCTCTAGAGTTATGAAACAGACTATCCATGAACGTTACCCTTAAGAGTCCATAACTTTGCGAAAAACCAAATTTAGGCAATCAAAGGTGGTGGATGTGTGATGATTTTTTATGGCTTAATTGTTTGTGAATTGGATATCTGATCTTTGTATGATTAGAGGGGATGTTTGCTTAATAGAATAATCTATTTTAATTCATGTTTATTTTTAACATGAAGTTTAGTAACTCAAAACCTTCGAGACACATATCACCTACTGCATTGTATCATTTTGCCTGGGTGCTTGCTGTGTTGTCAAACTTCTTTTCTGCTGCTGCTGCTGCATTTACACTAACAGGGGAGTTAAGAACCCATGAATGTTTCCATTTGACACAAACAAGAGGACTTACTTCTAAATCGTGCATTAAAGATGATTGGAGGAAACATCTTTGTTGTAGTTGATATACTGGAGACCATAACAAAAACAACGTATAACATCAAAACCAACCATCTGAACTACTAACATTGTTGCTTTACTCTTTTTTCGTGGTTGAGTCTCCTTCAAAAAATTTAGTTTGATTTTAGAAAATTTTGCTTTTGCAGTCCTGTCTTGCCACCAAAGCGTTGAGTAGATGGAGATGGCAGAGGCGAAGGCTATTTTTGTGTTGTTGTTGCTGGTTTAGGGATCGGTTTGTGAAGAAGAGGGGAAAGAGAGGGGGAAAGAGAAATGCAGGAGAGGGGGATAACTCTTTTCTCCGACAAAAATGGAGTGAAGAAAGGAATTATGATCAGTAAGGATATGGTTATCTTACATAACGGTCTCTATTCTGTTTGAATTGAGCTTGGGAGGCAGTGATAAGGACGAGCTGCAACCAATTCATAGTGCTAAGAATGCTATGAACTGTGATCATGTCTTATTTCAAGTTAGAAGGTAGTTTCAGTATAAGGATTATTTAATTTGACAAGTTGTTTCGTCCATGATTCTTGGTAGTTTCAGTGCCATTCTAGCCATTGTTTAGTCTGTAATTTTTGAGAATTGATGTGCGAATAATGACTTTCACTTAGCTTCAACTATTATGTGTGTATTTATTGGCATGTGATAGAATTCTCTTTTCCTTTTCTTTGAATTCAGTTTCATACTCTAATTGTATCATTTGTACATAGGCAAATCATGCTCGAGATGACAACTCGCTGATATGGCTGGTGCAAGGAATGAAGCCATCATTAGAATTCAGACCGACAACGGGGAGGGATGCCCAGGACTAATTCAATGATGATTGATGATGGTATAATAAAAACTGCAGTCTGCATCAGCACCAATTTCTAGGCCTAAGTAAAGTTATTCAACCCAGAACTCTGCTTAGCGCTAAAAATTGCCCTCACCCAACCTTGATCCTGTTTGACCCACTTCTGAAGAGTCAAGATATATGACTAATCCTCTTCGTTCATATTTTCTTATTAACTCTTTCTGACCCTTTAGGTTGGGGCAGGTCGGGAAGAATCAGATTAGTGGGTCGGTCTTAATCAAGTGGAATCCTAATCCCTTCACTCTCACTTGCTTTCTCTCCCATTCCACAAGTGGGTAACATACAGTAATCCGGCCAACGGGCCGGGTAATAAGCTAGTAGCTTTAGATGAAGCAAGAAGAACCATGAAAACCATCACTTTCGCCCGGTTTCCCTTTGGAGTTTTGGGCTCAAGTCTCAAGTGGGCCCTAATGTTACAGCTCATTTGGTCTGTACCATAGATGCAATGTTGGTCCTGAATCTGATGATTCACATAGAGCCCTCCAACGGGTGAAGAAGATAAGAAAAAACTGGAGATGGGAAGTGAGCTTAGCTAGCTAGCTGGGAGAGATAGTGAAAGGGGAGAGCAATCGTGGACAAGTTTCCTTTCTATTTTGATGATCAGAAAATGATAGAAGACAGAAATTGGAAAAACAGAGAGAGACAGTGAGAAAGAGAAGCTTATAAAAAGCACATGGAGGTGGTGCTAAACTAACCGCCACCCATTGCCCATGTGCACTCCCAGCTACCATTTCACTATTATATATGGCCGGAGATGTCGCGTTGGTATTTCAACAATTCATTCTATATATATAAATAAATGGACTATCGCTTCGAAATCACCTTCAAAAATAAAGCGAGAAAGGCTTTCAAGAAATGATAACTGAGAAGGCATCTCTAATAGCATTTATTAGTTTCGCGGTGTATGGATCCAACATCTCAACATGATGATATCCAACTAAATTATGAGTTTTCTTTTTGCGTCTTAGCTATCCATGAATGGAAGCAGTATGGATAGGACACATATACAAGATATTTACACGCCAGACCACAAAAGGAAAAAAGGGAAAATACGTTGAACAACAAGTGTCCGATCCGAACCAATACTTCAAGAGCTTGCTTTGTCACGATATGGCCAACCATGCTATACCAATGAGTTTGAGTAGTTAAGGTTGTTTCCCCCCTAATTAACAAAAATATATATATAGCGAACAGATTAACTATACTGTCGAATTGGGGAAAGGGTTGTTGATTAGGGAATTGATTGCTGGCCTGATTTGTTGATAATTTCAGGAAATGGACCTTAGAGGATTAAATTATTATTGTGAGGGCCATCTGGCCAGCAGCAGTTAGATCGTTGGGCAGGTAAATATGAAGTAATTAGGGTGGTTGGAAGGGTTATTTGCTTGAGTTGAAAAGAAGAGGGCCCTGTCACCAATGAAAGTATGACACTTTTGATCATCACCACCAGCATTAACGTCTCTTTGAAGGATACTTACATGGTGGTTAAGACTTCTTCCATAATTGTGAGGTATTTGAGGTCAATCTTAACTTCGACTATGGTGGTTCGTTAGAGAGACCAGATATAATAACTATGATAGAGAAGATTGAGAAACACTAGCGTGTCTGGAAAATCTTAAATCGTCGTTGTCATTATTGTTGTCTTTTTCTCCCACACCATGACACTCAATTCAACAAGAGATGTCTATAGCGCGCCCAACACATGGACTCCTGCTTTGCTTTCGTCAACCAATGGAGATTGGTGATCAGACGTCAACAAACTCTGGACATGGGCTAGGTTGGAAACCCGGTCGATTCGTTGAGGTGAGTTGGATCTGGGTTGCCTTGCCTGCTTGATGTTAAAGTGGAGAATGGAGAGTCCGAGAACTGTAGAGACAATCGAACCAACTTAGGGTCCGGTTGAACCAAAAGACCGGGAACCGAATCCCACCCCAATGTGACCTGAAGGTGTCAACCTGCTAGTAAAGATCAGCATGGATGGCCTATAATGAATCTCTAATGAATCTCATGCACTTCAACCACATGTTTATGGGAAAGCCTCAAAAGAGGGGGGAAATAGTAATCAATTGTGATTTCTACATATGGAATGTCCTTCCTTATGATTTTTCACCATAAAATTTTAATGTAACCATTCATGGATCATATAATTCCAAATTGATTACAGAGGAAGAAAAGGCTATATGCTTTCAAACACTGTTCCCCTGCTTAATGGTTTGCCCATCCCAAACTGAATTTAGGTATTGGGTCAACTCAAGTCCATAAAAAGAACAAGTGGTTATGAATTTGACTTGTGTGAATGGATAGATAGACCAATTACATAGGCCCAGCTGGCTGCTGCTGATTCCACTCAAGTTGTAGTAAGGTAACCTTTGATTGAAATTGAGGGTGAAGAGTTGGTTGGTGTTTGGAGATTTGGTTAGTTAGATAGAGGGGATGGTTCACCAAATCACAATAATCAATGGACAAAAGTAGAAGGTGGTTACACATGCATACCAAATTTTCTTCTCTAAAATTACATACTCCCTTTGAGGTTTGGATTCAATCTTCAATTATACTAAGCATGATTAGGGGTTTTGGTTAGGTTCTTTTTCAGACTAGTAATACTTGATTAGTCGCAAGAGAACTGTATTTTGGTTTCGAAATGAGCATGGATTGTATGATTCATTTGACATTTGGATGTTTTGAGAAATTACCGGGTTGAAAAGTGTTTTGAGCAGTCAGTGGATAACTGCTTTAAAATATAAAATATCCGAGAAATCCAATACAAATGACCTCGTTATTAGTTAGGACAAGCACCATGCGAAAGACAAACATGTGAAGTGTATGTGTAGTTGTGTACAATACGATTTACGAAATACAAGGGGATGTTAGGGAACAAGTCGAAAGCATTGAAGAGCACCATGCTATGTGAATGATCAGTTGTTATTTGTGAGTTGTGAGGATGAGTATCTAGGGCAAGACCGTGATCGTCACACATCTTTTTACTAATATCTTCGTACATCTCTAAGTCAATAATTATTTTAGCAATGTCTCACTCTTTTTATTAAAATCTCACTTCTACCATACACGCTAACATATTTACACCATCTTTTTACGATTAGACATGTATAATTTAAATGTTTCATAGATTTTTTCCTCCTTACAATATTTTTAAAATGGGTTAAAGACACATTTGGTCACTGAGATTACAAAATCGGGACATGTTTAGTCACTAAAAAAAGTTAATATCAAATTTGGTCACCACAATTACTAAAACCAGACACATTTAGTCACTCGCCGTTAGTCTCCGTCCAACTCCGTTAATGAAGTCCGTTAAGTGATGATGTGGCAAACAGAATTGCCTAATCAGCCGGATATAACCCAACAAAAATAAAACCCGACCCACCACGTCATTAAAACCAACCCAACCCAACCCATGACCCAACCCTTCTTCCTCCTTCTTCCCACCTCGGTACCTCCCACCTCCTTCTTTCCCCAAAACAACCGTCGTCGCCGCTCTCCTCCTTCTTCCTCCTTCCTCCCACCATTTGTCAGCAAGAAACCAAAAGAAAACACACCAGCACCATAGATTTTAGTTCTATTGAGCTAGTCAAACGAAGAACAACTAGCCAAGATCAATTATCTCGGACAGCAAACCTCAGCTCACAGAGCCAGAGTTCTGCACCAATTCCATGATCCCCACAAGTCAAACTAAGCATGAAAACAAAGCAAAACCCATATCAGAAACTCCCAAACTTCCAAAAGCACAACCTCACCGCCAAACCAGAACACTGTAAACCAACACCCAAAATCAGAAAATCAACCCCCTGAAACCTTTTCGATTCCACAGTCTAAAAACCATCAAATTCACGCACTGGAATTAGGAAAGGAGAAGAAAATTGACTTTTACACTGAACAAGGATTGACTTTTGCGGGAAGAGGTGGGAGGGAGGAGGAGAGCGGCGGCGGCGGTGGTTTTGGGGAAAGAAGGAGGTGGGAGGTGCCGAGGTGGGAGGAAGGAGGAAGAAGGGTTGGGTGGGGTTGGGTCATGGGTTGGGTTGGTTTTAATGACGTGACGGGTTATAATGACGTGGCGGGTCGGGTTTTATTTTTGTTGGGTTATATCCGGCTGATTAGGCAATTCTGTTTGCCACATCAGCACTTAACGGACTTCATTAACGGAGTTGGACGGAGATTAACGGCGACTAACGTCGGCGAGTGACTAAATGTGTCCGGTTTTAGTAATTGTAGTGACAAAATTTGATATTAACTTTTTCTAGTGGCTAAACATGTCCCGATTTTGTAATCTCAGTGACCAAATGTGTATTTAACCCTTTTTAAAATTTTAAAAAGCATAATTTCAGATGGTTAAATCAGATTGGCTAGCCTTTCTCAAACTCTTTTGTCCTTGCCTAGTAGAGAGATCCTTTTGTCTTTGACAATTGACGTGGGACAAAAAAACCTCAACGGAAAAGCAAATGGCAGAGAAGAAAAATAAGAGAAAAGGAAACAGAAAAAAAGAAAGTGATGGGTGTACTGTAGTGTTTGTTGGTGGGCTCAGAAGGAGAGAACTGAGGACCTGAAATATAGGTAAAGCCATTTTATAGCTGGCAAGCAGCTGTCTTTCTTTCTTCCTTCTTCCTCCATAGCCCCAACGCCCTTCCTTTCCTCCCTCCCACTTCTTTTCCTTCTTCCTTTCCCTCTTCTTCTCTCTCTCTCTCTCTCTCAAAGCTGGTTGCTTTGAGGAAGGAAGGAAAAGGAACTCACATTTCTCTATACTGCTGTGTGTATGCTCCTGCACAATTGAGAATTAGGGTTTTCATAAAACAAAAAGGATGAGTGCTTCTAGGTTCATCAAGTGTGTGACTGTTGGCGATGGCGCTGTGGGGAAAACTTGTATGCTCATCTCCTATACCAGCAACACTTTCCCTACTGTAAGTTCAATTTTCCTTTAACCCTCCCAAGTTTTTTAAGCTTCTTGTCCTTTTGTTTTTGTCCTGTGGGTGGATTTTGTCTTGGGTTGGAGGGAATTGCTTAGTCAGTGGGAAGGTTTTGATTTGCTGGTTGTTTGTTGCTGTTTTAGGTTTGTGGGGGTGTTAATTCGTGGGGTAAAGCTTTGATCTTTGTCGAGTTTGGATTGTGATTTCTGGTGTGTTTGTTTCCCGGGAAAATGAGGGGAAAAGGAAAACATGATACGAGAAAATTTCAACTCAGTGGCGTTTTTTGGTCAACTAAAGTCCGATAGGGTAATGGGTTCCACGTTGCTTGTGTTCTGTTCTTAACCAGAGTTGGGATGGTAAAGTCAATGCTAGGGTTGATAATACAAAATATTCAGGCTGGACGAGGGAATGTTGTGAATGGAAGGACAGTGGAGGTTTATTTCGGTGTGGTTTGTTTTACTTGAGTTCTTCTTAATTTTAGAAACCAGACATAGAATGTATCCAGCCAAAATCTCTCTTGATTGAGGCGTCTCGACATCGAGAAGAATTGATTTTTATCAGTGTTACTAGTGGAGCTTATTAACCTACCGAATGTTGGAAACGAAAACAAGAACATTCTGATCTGAAATT